AACAAAAGAAGAGAAACTATAAGAAAACTGGTCTGTGTGCCACCTGTAATTTCAACACTAGGAGGCAGGGACATGGGATCACAGCAAATTTGAGGCCAGCCTGGTCTAAGCAGCAAGACCATGTCTCAGAAAACAAAAGAAAAATATATAAAAGAACTGCCATAAAAATGAAGCAATACTCAATTGTTTTAAATAACTTACGCTCCCAAACCTAGATAAATTATATTCTAGGGTGCTGAGAGAATTTACAGATGATTTTAAAATCATTATTGATTTCTCTAAAGAATCTTAAAGAATGGACTGGGGGCTGGAGAGATGGCTCAGTGGTTAAGAGCACTGGCTTCTCTTGCAGAGGACCTGGGTTTGATTCCCAGCAACCACATGGCAGTTAATAACTGTCTTTAACTCCAGTTCCAGGGGATCTGACGCCCTCTTCTGACCTCTGCAGGCATTGCACAACATGGGTGCACTTACCTACATGCAGGCATTACACTCATACTCACAAAATAAAAAATAATAATAATAAAAATCTTTTTTTGAAAAGAATCTTAAATGAAAGAAATTGTTTTAAACTGAAATGAAGCAGAAGTCATATATCAATGCCATAAATATAAACTCTAAGGTTGCTCCTACACAGTTTTCTTAAGTTTGTTATTTATATTTTATGTGTAAGAGTATATTGCCTGCAAGTGTGTCAGTGCCCCCATGTTGTACAATACCCTCAGAGGTCAGAAGAATGCTTTGGAGTCTCTTAGAACTGGAGTTACTGACAGTTGTTAGCTGCCATGCGGGTGCTGGGAATCGAACCCGGGTCTTCTGTGAGAAGAGCTAATGAGTGCTCTTAACCACTGAGCCATCTCTCCAGTCCCCTTCTGCACAATTTTTAAGAAGTGATTTGATACCACTTACTGATACCAAAATGTTTTCCCAAAATGCATCATTGTCCTCACCTTCCCAGCAAGTGTTTTTGTCTTAGCTAGTGTACACAATTGCTGGTATTCGATGTTAGCATAGCATAGGAAAAGTTCTGCTAATTGAAAAAAATATTTTCTTGTGTTCTACATATTTTAATGAGACACATGAAACACATAATAATAGTTATCAAGTATATAGACAGTAAAAAGGGAAAGCTAATGTAGTTTCTAAAAGCCAATTCAAAAGATGTTAATAGACTGAAACACTTGATATAATTGAATAAGTAGCTTCTTTCACTTCAAAAACTCAATGACACAAGCATCAAATGGGACAAGTCTTGTTCTTTTAAGTTCTGTGAACAAACTCTGAGGACTTTAGTAGAGTGCAAACTCAATAAAAATCAAAAGTGGAAAGTAATGGTCCAGTGTAAAGTAATTATAAACTAACAGCAATAGGAACCTGCATAGGCTTTGAAAACAAAGGAGGCTTTTCCAAAGCAGAAGTCACATCCTGCAAAGCCGTGTGTGTGGACCAGAGAGCAGCAGACGCCAGCGCTAAGGCAGTTTCTCTGACCCCTGGCTGGCTTATCAGTTCCTATCACTGCAACTCCAAAACTGGAACCACCGCCCCCCCCCCGCCCCCCCATCATATGCGGGAAGAGCTGGTGATTCCTCTCCCCCAGCCCCAAACTTAGAACCTGGAATTCAGACTAAACAGTTTTCCTCACTTTGATCTTACATCCTAAGCATATCAGAAGGACGGTTACTGTATGTTCAATCACGTAGCTAAAATCCTACAGTTTGAAACTTGGACTGTCCCTCCTAGGATGTAATGTCCTAAATTCTGTGTGTGCCTTGATCCACTTTGACTGAGCCTTGATCCATTAATTTCCCCTAGTGAAGGCTGATCCAGTAAATCTGGAGTGTGTGCTATCTGGTCATGTGCTAACATGCTAACACAAAAACTGAAAACTTCTAAAAGCTTTACACATATTGAGGGTCAAATTTATTCCTGAGTTTATTGGATTTTTTTCTAATTGATGCTGTTGAGGAAAGGTGAATGCAGCATTTGAGAGCCCTTTTCTTGTAAGATGGAAAATGGGTGAAACAGAGATAATAGATCTATACATCAAACTTTTTAACGGGTTAAAATTTGAGCTGGATTATGGCTTAAAATTAGATAAGCATTCTTCTCATCCCAATCAATTAAAAAATAATAATAAAACACTCCTATTTTTGCTGAACTGAATAAAATAGTAAGTTGAAGAAAAACCAAGAGAAAACAAGTTGCATCAAAACAAGGCTTCTATGAGCTGCCTGTTCTGAGTGATATTCTCAGTGCTCTTCTCTTATGGCCATCTCGGAACAGACTGATTTTTGCTTCCACAGAACATCCCACAGGGAGGCAAAGTAAGGAGGATGCCATGGGGAAGGGATCAGCCAGGAAGTTTTGCAGGTTGAAACCTGGCGGCCTTAAGACCACAACGACAGCCATCAAAAAACGATGCTGTCATTGAAGACTGTAATGGTATCTGCCATAGCACATGGGGAAGGAAAGATGAACTCTGCTGTGTTTAGTGGGGAAAAAAAGTCGATTTTTAATTTTTGTTTTGTTTTGTATTTTGATGGTAGTTGTCGTGGTGGTGTTGGTGGTGGTGGTGGTGTGTGTGTGTGTGTGTGTGTGTGTGTGTGTGTGTGTGTGTGCACATGCATGCGAGCTGGGAGACAAATCCGGAGCTTTGGACACAGTAGACACGCGCCCTTCAACTAAGCTGTCTCCCCAGCACCTTGGTTTGGTTTAGTCTGGTTTGCTTCATTTTGTTGTTGAGATAACATCTCACTTCGTAGCCCAGGTCTCCTGAGAACTCATTATGTAGCTCAGACTGTCCTGAAACTCAAGGTACTCATCCTGCCTGGGCCTCCCAAGTGCTGAGATTACTTGGTGTGCAGCCATAGGAAGCCTGGGGAGCACTTTCTCCCTTTCATAAGCAAATAAACACACACTGACTAACCCCCCCCCCTTTTTTTTTAAATGAGCTCATCAAGGGAGTTCTAGTTCCAGCATAGTAATTCCTGATGGTTCTAATAGTTTATCTTTCTACAGCATTTTACAATCTGTAAACTACTTTTTAAAATCGTGTATGTGTATGTCTGTGTATATATGTGTATGTTCATATGTGTAAGTGTGCTGCCGCGTGTGGGGGTCAGAGGACAACTTCAAATGTTGGTCCTCGTTTCCCACTTTGTTTGAGGCAGGCTCTCTTGTTCCTCTGCGTATACCAGGCCAACTGGCCAGCGAGCTTCTGGGAATTCTTATATCCGCCCCCCTCATCTTGCCTTAGGAGCGTGGAGATTACAAACACATGCTGTCATGTCTAGACTTATTTGGGTTCTGGGGATTTGAACTCAAAATATCACACTTGCAAAGCAAGTGTTTCCCACTGAGCCATATCCCTAGCCATCCTTTTGCATATATTGTTTTATGTAAGTCTCATGTCATTGCTAGGTATATATTATTATTCACATGTGATGGAGAAAGTAACGTTTCCTTCCTGAGAAAGCACTGCTTGTGAAGTGACAGAGCCAGATCCTAGGACAGATACGGGTTCTCCAAAGGCCATGCTGGTCCCTCGGTGTATCTTAATACAAGCTACATCTTTCCAAAGTTTCTCCATGAGATTATAATAACACCAAAGCCTTGGGTCCATATACTATACCTCTGTCAGACAGGATACGATCATACCCTAGAAACAGCACTTAATGAAAGTGAGTTACAACTTGCTTTAAGTTATTCCCTTTATGTGTAACTGATTTCTTTCTCTTTTTTTCTTGTTTTTTTAAAGCATTACTTCTTTGAAAGTAGTGGGACTTTTTTCTTTCTTTTTCTTTTCTTTTTGTCTTTTTGAGACAGGGTCTTCCTGTAGCCCCAGCTGCCCTGGAACTCACTATGTGGACCAGGCTGACGTCAAACTGACAGAGATTCACCTGCTTCTGCCTCCCGAGTGCTGGGATTAGAGGTGTGTGCCACCATGTCCAGTGATATTTTCATACAATGTATCTTGATCATATTCAACCCTCCCCAATCTCCTCCCAGAGCCACCTTTACTTCCTTACCCATCTAACTTCATGTCTTTTTTTTAAGCCCACAGAGTCCAATTTGTGGTTCCCAAATTCTATTGGGTATGGGACTATGCCTCTGGAACATGGTCAAAGTTTGGTTCCCAGCACCCACATGGCGTCTAACAACTGTCTGTAACTCCAGTTCCTGGAGGTCTGACACACTCTTCTGACCTCTGTGGGCACTGCACACACTTATTGCACTCATATATATGTAAGCAAAACACTCATACACATAAAGGAAAAATAAATAAATCAATATCGGGTGTGGTAGTGTGTGCCTTTAATATCCACCCTGGGGAGGCAGAGGCATGTGGAGCTCTTTGAAATGGAGGTCACCCTCGTTCACATCATGACTTCCAGGAGGACTAGGGAGACCCTGTAGAAACACAATCAACAACAGCAAAAAAATAAATAAAACCAACAATTGGCACATGGTACCTCTTGAAGCAAAAA